TATAAAGTCCTGTAAAAATACCAGGAAAACCTCAATGTGTAGCAGCAGTTTTCATTTGGGGCTGGGTACTTCATATGCACATTGGCATGTAGCAAAGCACAAAGGGTGTTTCAACAGGAAAGTTTTATTTAAGATCAGGAGTACAGTTCTGAAGCAACTCCAGCTGTTCCCACTTACTACACTTCAATTAACTTCACAGAGCACTCTGCATGAAGGAGCTGAACGCTTTCCAGATTAAATAATATGAGTTTCATGAACACACCTAATGCTACCTAACCACTAATTAGCACCAGACTGCAACTGGTTCAAAAAAAAAAACCCCCAAAACCTGACATGCAACACAGAGGTCAGGGTCTCAGCACCAACTGCTCTGCCCTGTAAATTTACTCTTATTGAGACTACTTTCTGGTGTAGATGTAGCCTTAACTTTGAGTCAAATTCTGTAATCCTTACTTAGGCAAAGCTTTTAAAATAGATGAGAAACTGGCCTAGGTAATGACTGTCATATATGTGCTCTCAGTATTTTGAAAGACTTCCCTAAAAAGAGCCTGCAGACAAGTTATGTAAGAATTCCCAAACAAACTTAGCCTTCAGGAAAGCTAAACATGAACTTGCCTTTCCCAAGCACCATCCATCAACAAACCAAGATTTAAATAAATTAATTACCTGAAATTCTTCTGCTTGCTATATTGGGATTTGCTGGACAGCATAAGACAAAGCCTGCTTGCCTTTTTTTTTTTTTTAAATTATTCTTCTCTCACTGGAATATGTTCTTATCCTGTGCCTTAGACCTCCCCTATAAATCAACTGGAAATCAGTAAAACCCCAGAAGACAGGGGAGGATGTGGTTCTGGCCTTTAAATTCTGCCCTGATGTGACTCCTTGCTTTGCATTGGTTGCTAGCAATGCCTGAATCTAAAGGAAAATCTTTGTACAATTAGCTCACATGTGGTGTGAAGGGTCTGGTAACTACAGCAAGCTCTGCACTCGCTAGCAGGATAATACTTCTGCCAGGTGGGACTGACAGGCAGATCTAACAAGCCTGCTACTTCTCCATGTGTAATCAGCAAGGAATAAAACCAACCAGTGAACCTGAAAAGTGGAGTAACAGACTGTGGCAGGTGGGGTTGAGTTTTCCAGGGATGATGGGGGTCTGTGTTACTACTTTCTTCCTTAAGGTTTTTACATCTCCATGTGCTGAAGCCTGTCCCTCTCCCTGTCGTTAACAGAGCTAGTTGCTGGATCTCACCCTCAGTCAATTTTTCTGGTCTAAATTTTTGAGATCTGGTGTCCCAGAAAATTAGGGATACCTGTATCTGTGGGATGCAGCCACCCAGGTGGCTTTCGCTGCCCAGCCTCCTTCCCCAGGCACAGGAGGCCTGAGCTTATCCTCTCTAGCAGGAAGCACAGGCAGGTAAAGTTCTAAAGAAACACTAGACTAACTCCTAATTAAATTCCTAAACACCACCTTTTTGAGAGACCTTTTTTTTTTCCCCCCTCTGAGGGATTTGGGATCTGAGGAAAACCTGGGCCTGCTCCCACCAAAACTCACCTCAGCTTCACCGAGACATGAGCCTTGCAGCAAGTTCCCTGCTCAGTCCTGGTTGTGAGACCCTTGCTGCTGAATTTTCCTCCATTTCTGTACTCACACCAGGCCAGGGGCTTGGCCCTTGTGCCTTCCCTCCTCATAGCAGCCCATCCTCAGGGCGTTGTACCAGCTCCCGAAACACTGTGCTTGCTGGGGTAATGCAGCTCTGAAGGTCTCAACCCTGCCGCAGCTGTAGTAGACAAAAGAAAGAAGGTAAGCTGTTTGGGTTTAAGAGCAAAAAAAAAAAAAAAAAAAAGGACATGCTTGTACCTCTACAGCCTTGTCTTAAGCATTGGCTGGAGGGGCCATGCACGACCACAGGCTGGCTGGATGCTGCCCCTTGTCCACTGCTTGCTGTGGACTTGAAAATGGCCCTGGGACCACGGGGTCTTGCCACATGCTAACCTGCCATTTTGGCAGAGTATAAACTCCAGGCCTAGTGGGAGTAAAAGCAAGGGCAGCCCTTCAGGGACAGCATCAGGGGCTGCAAGCCCTTCATCGTGGCGTGGCCCTCACTGTCCTTCCCTGGAGCACAAGCTGAACCCATCCTGGCATGCAGGGTTTCCCCATGTACCTGTCCTCGGCCATCGTCCCTGTACACAGCAAAAAGTTGCTGCCAGGCTGAGGTGTCTGCGTAACCCAGGGGTCTGCTCAGGTGTCTGCTGCCAGTGTGAGGTGGGACCTCTTATTTCTGGACCGTGTTCAGCTGCCATGCCCGAGGCCAGGGCTCTCCTGAGCGGGACAGAGGTTTCCCCCCAAGACCTGCAGCCACGCTGCCGGCTCCTAGCCATCGAGCCTGGCTTCTCTTTCGTACAGTGCTGTCTGTGCTACGACATGTTTTGGGAGCTGCTTAATTTGTCTCACAAAGCAATCTGCTGTACTTTTCCCAGAAAATGTATTTTAATTTCAAAGGGAAAAGGAAGGTTTATCTGGAAACAGCCGATCAGCTGGTGTGCAGCAGCAGTTTGTGTAAAACCTGCCCAGTCCCCCCAACTGGAGGATGCCTTAACAGCAACCAGGCCCCCGGGCCTGAAAAAGCTGACGTGGCTGTGCCTGCGTTTTGTCAGCCTGCTGCATCCCAAACTGTGACTAATAGAAGTATTTTGCTATTTATCATCCCATAAATGCTTCCTGGCTTGTAACTGGACTCGCTCGTAAGAGTCTGTCCAATGCGCCAGCGGTTATTTTTGGCTGCCCAAATTCCATTTTCCTGTGTTATTTGCTGCAACCGGACCAACGCGTTCATATTTTGATAGCTGTGTTGTTGGTTTCTGAGCTCGCTGACAAAGGAGCTAATGTCTTTATTGTTTACTGCAAGGATGTTGTTCAGGATTACTGGCCTGGATTTTTAAACCTCTCAAGTGTATGCCGGCATGAAATTACTGTCCTTAAAGGCAATTTACTCACTGAGAATTTCACGCTCTTTGAAATAACTCTACCCCTTATTTCACCATGTTTTTTCTTTAAAAAAACCCCAACGTCTACCACAATTCAACCCCACTGGAGAAGCATTGTCATACGGAAACCTACTTGTTCTGAACAGCAAATGAAGGTATTTGTATGGTAGTGAGTAACTGAGAAAGGCAAGGGCGCGTACTTTCTTTTCTGGAGGTCAGTGTTGATGACTGAAGTCTGTCAAAGACCTTGAGTAAGATGAAGCCTCCAAAGTAAGGGGACAGAGGATTGGGTGAGTTCTGACCCTGCACCTCACAAAACTGAGCTGACCTATACCAATGACCTTTTTTTTTCTTTTTTTCTGGAATTTCTAGCTCAAAGCTTAATCTGCTGGGGATGCTTCTGGTTTCATGGTGAGCAATGACCAACCAAAGCAGGAATAGACCACCCAGAAATCTAAGAGGCTGGCAGGCAAGCAATTTTATCATCCCCAAGCATTCATCAATTCATAAATTGATTTAAATGCTGTGTGGATTTCTCTTTCTCCCCACTCCATGAGGGCCAGAAACATTTTAACGCTGAAATACTTACAGACTCTAACAAAGTGGGCTCTTTAAAATAAAGCAAATAGCCTTCATTACAATTAAAATTTACTTGACAAATCTGGCTTACCCCAGGACAATGCTTCCAAACGCATCTAAACACAATTTTATTGAACTTAGAAGCAAACAGTTGTCATTTACAGCCTACATGTGTGCTCTGTTTCCCTTGTTCTAAGCTGCATTTTGGGGGCATTGTTTAGTTTTCTTTTTTCTTCATCTTGTGAAGGTTTTTTTAGGTACTTGACCACAATGATGACTGATTATGGAGGCCACCTCTTAAAGCAGTTAGCTGATGATGCAGGTACTGAGAGGCCATTAGTATTTTGGTGAAAGAGAGAGCATAGTACAGATATAAGAAAATAATGAACAAATACATTGTAGAATTAAAAAGTATATAATTAAATGTAGAGGGTTTGGGGGTTTCTTTGTAGTACTAATACAACAAAAATCACTATTGTTATAGCTCCTTTAAATGTGTATAAAGCATTTACCTAAATGGAACGTTCAGTATTTATTTTAAAACACATGCACACAAAAGTACTAATCCCACTATAAAGCAGTTTAGAATGCAAGTTTAAACTGTTTTAGACCAATGGAAGATAGGGGCTGTTTTCTCCAGATGTTCCCAAACTTAAATTATCTAAAATATTTCAGTCTATACCTAATTAAGCAGATGAATAAATCCCATTGAAGTCAAAGAAGCTATTGATGTGATTAAAGAAGATACATACTTAAATTCTATTTGGAGTTTAGATCCAAAAGCTTAACTCCATCCCCATTCAGCAATACATTTAGGCAACTTTAGACACTTGCTTAAATCAATCGGATTAGGTGTTTGCTTGAAGTTAACCATGAATTTAAATGCCATGCTAAATAGGAAAGTACTTATGTAATGGATTAGCTCCAGCTGAAATTTTATAATTATTATCTAGGAATATTTTTAAGGACTTGAAATATGTTCATTTTTCCATTAACTTTTAAACCATCTTCTAGACAAGAGAAAATATTTTCAGTTTTAACTTTTCACCCCATTACCTTACCTTATGCCATCTTCTTTCCATGAGGAAAAAAAAAAAAGTGGTGGAAAAGGAAGGGAATTCTTATTTCATTCATAGGGGCATGGGAACATCAAGTTTTAACTTCTTGATTTTTCTTTTAAAAAATAAAAGCTAGAAAATTTCAAATTAAGTAATTCTATGCAAAACCAAACAATAAATTAATGTAATTCAAGCTTTTCTAACTGGGCCAGCTGAACACAAGGCTTCTAGAAGGTTTTCACTTAAGTGTAAAGAGCTCTGAGTTACTCTTTCCTGACAGGAATGTCTGTAACTTCATACCAATTTACCATTTTTTTTCACTGCTTTAAGATGAACAGATACTCCAGATCTAAGAGTAAGAGAAGAAACAAGCCAGCATTTGTATTAAGAAACATTTTTATTAACAAAACAGTAAATTCCACTTGCTTAGCATTTCCAATAATGAATAAATTGGCCTTGCAACAAATAAAAAAATCGTAAATATCTATCACAGAAAGCACTATAAGGTTAGGGGCATTGGGCCTCTCTTCGATGTCTTAGGGTTGAAAGTTTCACACGTTATTTAGTGTTTTGTTAAAAAAGGCAACACAATACAGTCATAGAAATGAAGCCATCTCAGTCAAACAAATTAGGTTATTATAGAGAAAGGATCCAATTTTATGTTAGGTAGTTGGTTTATGTCTGTTTGTTTGTTTGTTGTTGCTGCTGTTTTTAAACAAAAAGGAATTTTAAATCCACTTGCTGGCACTTCTGATACATCCATATTTGTTTTTTGTTAAATTATAAAATTAAAGAGGAAAAAGGAGAACCTTCAGAAACAGTGTTAAAATCATGTTTGCTTATTGTAGTAGCAGATCTTTTTTTCCTTGATGTATGGATTTAGTTAAAGATTAATCTACCGAACTGCCTGGAAGTTGACCTGACCATGCTATTTCATTAATGCAATCAATACCAAGCAGAAAAGACCATTTCATCTCGCCCAAACCATATTCCATCATGTCCAATCTCCTGTCATCAGATTATTCTTGTTCTTCCACATATCTTTAATCACTGAAATCTGAACACCACCTGGCTTTCAACTTCTTCTTTCCCCCCCTCCAGCTGAAGTCTCTTGCTTCCAGCAATGACCTCCAGTATACCTGACCCTGCTGTTCCCTGAGTACAGCTGTCTTGTAAATGTGGGAGATATTAGGAATACCACAGGTAAATAACAATCTAAGGAATGAATGTCAGATGGATTCTGTAACCTGTTCTCATTTTTGTGTAAATGTTAATGAAAATAAGAAAATGATTTACAAATGCAACATGACACATCTCAATGTGGTTGGCAACCTTCAAGAAAGAGAGGTGTTTTCATGTCAGCTACATGTATTTTTAAAGTGCTCTGACTCCCAGATAGATAGCTGTACCAGTTTCCAGCCTTTTTAATCAGCTACAGTGAATTACACACATAAAATGTTTTGTGCCTGCTGTTTAAAGCTAATTTTAAATTCCTCCTTCCTGTCTGTAAAGTGTGAACATCTATATCCCTCCCAGGAGGCCTTCTGATGATTTGGTTGATTTCTATTGAACTACCCTCTTTCTGCCTAATGTATTCCCTTTGAACTTCCATGTAAATAAAATGTTATGCTATGATTTATTGCTGTGAAACTAATGAAATAGTACTAGAAAAAAACCTTAACATGTAAATTACAGCATTATATTGAATATGTTTAACTAAAATGCATTAATGTTTTATATATGCAAGAAAAGCTATGTGTTACTTTAAAACATGATGAACTTATATTTGTCTGGTTATGATGTCTTGCAATACTACACAATCAACTTAGCTAAAAATACTTTTTTGTATGTTAAAATGCCCACCATTGAAAAATATTATCGTGCACCTCAAGATTCTTTCCATTTTGGAGAAAGGGGTAAATTCTGCAGTAGAATCAGCCTGGATAATTAAAATGGGTCTTTTTAGATCTTTTACCACCCAATGCTGTAGTAGCTGTCGTTCATATAACTGAATGCCAGATAAACACTATATGATACTTCCTAAGATTCTCAAGAAACTCATCATTCTCATAATTTCTTAAGAACAAGGTTTCTGTAAGGCAAACCATGCTCTCCAATAGTGAAGCTTTGACTGGAAGCCAAAGGCCAGTTTAAGTCACTAAATATTTAGCTAATTAATGAATGTATTTTTCTAGGAAAATTGGCCATTCTGATCAACTTCATTGATGCATATCAGGAGCAAGAGATGGGGATAGGAGGGAGAAGACAAATTACAGTAGAGAGATATTTTTGCTTTCTAGTCCACTTCTTTCATACAAACTACTAAAACTTAATTGCAACAGAATAGAGGCTGTACAGGTAAGAAAAAAATTAGCTGACTCTTATATACATTCATACACATCCCCCTTAGTATAACCACTACACTGTAAAAAAAAAAACCAAAAAAAACCCCAAAAAAAAACCCCAGAAAAAAAAAGGGGAAGAAGTCTGGGACAATTTATAATGGCTGCAAAAAAAATGAAGTATGTCTGTTGCTCCAGATGTCATAAAACTCTCTATACCTAGCAACACTTATAACATTGAATTTACCAAAAATGGCTGAAGAGCAGATATAGTTTGCATTTTCTATACAACAGGCTATAAAACATCACTTATCACAGTCCAGAAAGCACATATAGATGTGTTTTTATATAAACATATGTAATAACATATTAAGCGTGCATGAAAATTTCCCAATGATTGCATCTATGCCCTCTTGTTTATTTTTTTCTTTTTTTTTGTGGAAATGTGCCTTATATTCCAGATTTTTGTTTTTGTTTTTGAAAATAAGGCCTCCGTACTATTTTCCTCACAACCAGAAAGGGGCTTTTTGAAAGTATTTCTACGTAAGTCTTCAGAAAAGCCAGCACTTTGTTTCAAATGCAAGTTTCCAATCACTGCTTCACTGCACCAGACGGCAAACTCTTTATGTTTGCTTGTTGAGTCACCATATATAATGACAGTCTTCTCTGACAATAAGACTAACTTACTTCTCAAGAAAGCGCTAGCACTTTGGCTAAATCCAGAATCATAGGTAGCTTCTTTTTTTCTTTTTTTTTCCTGTTTTGTTTTTTTTTTAATTTATTTTGTTTCATATTGTGCCTTGATGTTGTAGTAATACTCCTTGCTTTATGAATGCGTGGTGTCATCATTGTCTTTCAGAAATGTTCCAGCAACATAAAGACAGGCAGAGTAAATGAAAACACTGTGAATGTTAGGGAATTTATCAGCTCCTGTTTCTGAAAAACAAGAGCATGAAATGCTTGTTTTTAAAAACAGTCTTTCCTTTCTGATTGCATTCCCTGTCTTGTTTGTTTGTTTGTTTTTGAATGTGCTTCATAAAAAGTAAAGTAAATAAGTTTGTATTATGTCTCAGATAAAATGAAGACTATTTCTATACAAGCGTTCTTTTAGATGTTGAGATCAGACATAGTACTCCTTATCCTTATTTTTCTTGTTTTTGTTGGAACTTTTAGCGCTGTTGGGCTGTTTTTCCTTGATCACAGCCCCATTGGATTGTGCTGAGTTACTGATGTAGTTTCGACTCTCATCTACGTGATACGATCCTTCGTCTCGATTCCTGTACTTGTACATAGCGTACAGGAGAATGAGGATACACAGTGCCGCTGCTGCCACGATCCCAACTACCATGCCTGTTGTGCTGCTGGATTCACGAATCACCTCAGACGAGCCAGGGTACTCCCTTCCTCCTCCTGCCCTGGTAGGATTTGCTGTAGGTAGATAATGAAATAAGGGAGAGGTTATTATTGAGTTTGCACATTGAGGAGTTAGTCATATCTACCTGCTACAAACATGCATCTTTCTAATTGCACTCACTAGGTCAGGACTGCCTATTAACGCACCCTACTTTACCAATCCGAAAACATTTAGGTTTGCAGCCCATTCCATTTTCATATCTGTCCGCACATATAAACAGGCTTTTAAACAAGGAAAAGGACAGCAAGGAAAATCTCATTTTAGCCTTCAAAAGTGTAATTTCTGCAAATGCTGTTATTAAGCAAAGAATGCCTAAATAATTTGGAATAACAGGTGTGCCGCAATTTAAATGCCAGAACACGAACATCTGGGAGAAAAGGATCTCCCTCTCCCACTCGCTCCTGCTCTCTTTCTCTCCTCTAAAGAACAAAAAGTGACACTATAGTACTTACTGAGAAGACAGCGATGATAAGACAGACTACGAAACAGAATGGGGGGAAAAAAATCAAAATTCCTAATAATAAATGATAGCAGCCAATAAGGTGGCTACAAATAAGGTGTCCTTGGCTCTCCTTTAGACTGCCCTCAGCAAGCTTCTCAATTTCTCCTTTCGTTCTAATATTTTTTGTTTCTTCTTTTTTCCAAATTAATTATATTTACTTTTATTACTTTTAGAGAGCTATCCAACCATACCTTCTCTTTCCTAATTCACAGAGTCCTCCTTGAATATGGCTACACTTTAGAGCACTTTTTCACTCAACTTCTCCCATTCCCTCTTTTCATCACTGACGCCAATACCAGACATTCTTTCAGGCAACACTTCATGCCCAGAAAAAACCTCTCAAGTTGCACAGAGCAAGGGCTCGGCCTCCTAAGAACCCACCTCTCAGGCCAGACTCTGGTCTTTTCAGTTGTGATATGAACTGAACTGACCTATGTCTTCAGACTCTAAAGTCTTCTTGATAGGAACTATTGTGTTGTCTGGCATGTTGTCTCCCCTTGCACAGCCATGTGGAATGAAAGCCTAATTCCAGGAGGAATTTCTAAGTTAAATGCTCACAGCACACACAAGGCTTATGCATTTCCCATGATCTCCTTCCTTTATTGCATTTTGCAGAAGGAGGAGAGGCAGATCTTTGTACAGAACGGCTTTAAGTGGCAATAGCTGAGATGCATCTTCTTTTGTAACTTAGCAAGTGTCATGGACAAAAATGAAGTGACCTGGGTCTGTGCAATATCCCTCTGATTATACCAGCATTTCCAAATTCCTGAGAGACTGTGTACCTGCAGCATTGCCTTGGCTGAGCTCAGGAGCAAGAAAAGAGCAGTGAGTGAACCAGGGTTTCCCACTGAGCAGTGCAGAACACTCTCATTAAACATCCAGGCTGGCTTATAGAAACCCCATTTTAAATCATTATGCATGGCTAAAAATGCAGTCAGTAAAATATAAATGTTAACTAAGAGTATTATTAAACACTAGCTTTACAATATATTCATAATGTTAGCTTTATCAGGCCTTGCCTACAACTAGCATTTTATTGAAGTGTATTAAAGAAGTGTCTTGCTCAAGGTGCATGAAAGCACACTATGCCCCATAGTCACTTCTTTTTTTGCAATGTAAAGACATAATAGGAAGATTATGAGGCTTTGGGCAATGTGGTCTAGTGGAGGGTGTCCCTGCCCACGGCAGGGGGGTTGGAACTAGATGATCTTTGAGGTCCCTTCCAACCCTAACCATTCTACGATTCTATGATTCTATGATGATTTTAAGGATGCTACATTAAAGGTAATGCCACTCAAACTATCAACACTGGTCAAAAAATTGCAGCAAGTTTGGACAACCAGAATTAAATGGAGCCACCAGCTACAGACATCTACAAATGGCCTATGAATAATAAAACACAGCAAAAAAGCCACAACCCCCAAAAAGAACTAAGTTCCTTCCCACCTTGGTATTACTTATTTATTTATTGGTGATTCGTGTTCTTTCTGTTGAAACACCACTTCCTGAAGTTATTCCACATAGCTTTAAAGAAGGTGACATTTTATTTGGCTGAAAGAACAGCGGCACTACAGTAAGACTCAAGAAAACTGTCATTTGTGTTCAAACAGTATTTTCTTTGACTACACAAGAGATGTTAAAAGTTTCACTTCAGAAGGCTCTAAGATTTTTTTCTCATTTCAGGGTAGATGCCACCCTACTAAGAAATGTGGTCTGTCTCAAAGTAGTCAGTGACTGGTTTAGATCCTGTTTCTTCATTGTAGCTATTGTAGAAAATGGAAGTTCTTTTACACATAGGGTGTCATTTATTGTTTTACAAGAGACAGTGCATTGTTGCAGAATAAAGCCTCCTGAGTATTTCCATGGTGAATGAAAATGAGACAAAGTCTTATCTTACTGTATGTGATTCCAGGAAATTAATTTCTGTCTGAGAAATAATAGAAGCAACTGAATAAACTCTGTCAATACCTGATGGACTAACAGCTGCTCTTTCTCTTTAAAATACACACATTTGGGCCAAATGCCATCAACTAACTTTACAATTAATGTCTACTAAATGACACTTAACAGCTTGCTCAGTGGAAAACATTCTTTTAACACTGCAACCTAAAAAAAACATGTAAGGAATATTTTTCAATGTTACCTAAACTCCTCCCTTTCACCTGATGGCATCCTTTTATTTTTAAGAATGTTTTCACAATTATCTCATTTATCCCATCTGTCTGAGGAATATTCAACCACTACATTAGTGTTATTTAAACTTACAACATTTTCAAAGCATCTGTTGTTACATTTGTTTGGACTTCTGTAAAAGGAGCAGTTCAGCAAGGGAAATGACTTCTTCCTATTTTTCTTCCGTTGACATTAAAATATGCTTTTAGCCTAGCAGGGCCTCTCAAGACAAATGAAGGAGGAGGAAATAAGAGGAAAGTTTTACAAAGCACATGGGTTTGTCTGTGACCGTTTAAAGTAGGAAAGACTAATGAAACACGTGCTAAGGCAAGTGTCCTGTTCTGAGACAGGGAGAAAAAGGCCACTGGGAAAAGGCCAGCCTACACTTCTTCCCAAATCTATGTAAATAAACAAATCCCCAGCCATAACATAGCTGAAACAGCTGCTTTCTATTTAAGCAGAACCTTTATTTGACTAACACTGGAGTACCCAAGGGGAATTTACCTGGATTTTTTTTTTCTTTCCCCTGTGAGACAGGAACTATTGCAAGGGACAACAGTTGATCACTGGAGAGCAAGTGAAGATTTTAAGGTTACAGAAATCTTGCTCTTTGCTTCCCAACTCTTTGAGAAACACATGATGCAGTTTTCTTCCTGGCACGTTGGTAGCTGAAGCAGGCAGAGTCATTGGCTCCTGGCACAGCAGCAGAGGTTTGTCTATGGGTAACCATGTCTGCTACTCAGTTGCAGTCTCTGTGTGTGTGTCCAGCATCAAAAAGCCACTAACTTCATGCTAGATAAAGTTTCTTGTTGTAAATGAGAAGCAAAATACCTTATAGGTGAACAGTAAGATTAAATGTCATAAAAATGACCCTGATTTTTAAGAATCAGAAGTCATCTCTAAAAAATCCTGATACAAACTATAGTAAGTTGAAGATGGTTTGATCAGGAACAAGAGAAAATCATAAAGACTGTGTTTATGCGAAGACCATGCCATAACAGTGAGAGGAAATAAAAGTCATCTTGTGGTGCAATGATCCCTTCTTAAAACAACTTCGCTGATGCACAACTCTTCCTCTCAACAGCATACGACCAGCCTTTTCGGATTGCCTTCGAGACCAGCTTAGAAGAGACTGGTTTCTAAGAGCCTCTTCTACCACTTACGAAAAACTTTGCATGAAATAATAGCAAATGAGCACAGTTTTACATTGTGTAATAATGGATTAGAAAGTTATTATTCTTGACTGTATTTCTAAGTGGTTTAAAATTTAGAGGGAAAAATCTGACTATTTTCAGTGCCCAGTTTTCATTAATACTGTGAAAAGAAAATTGGAACTGCAGTATCCCATGGTGTTTGTGAATTGAAATTAGCAGACTTAAAAACAAAACAAAAAACCCAACAAAAGGAACCCCAAACCTGTTTTCTTTACATTTATGCTTTCCCACAAACTGTGAATAGGAAATTACTCACAAGACAAGAATGTTTAACTACTGCATTTGCAATGAGGCATGAAGGCAATTATTTACAGGACACATATTAATTTTCACTGTGTGTGCTATCATTGTAGACCTGTTTGTGGTCGACTTTCTGTAGCATTGTTGGATTCTGGTGAACTGGTTTCTGAGCTTACTGCAATTTCAACGTCTCATTACAACAAATACATCTGAAAACCAAATCTCAGTGCTTCCTCTGCTTAACCCGTGGCATAGATGCAGCCCAGTTTGCAAAACCAGGATGAGGATCTGCTGTAAACTTGTGCCAGACACTAAGCTCAACCCCCCCTCCGGATCTGAATGCAGAGGTATCTCAGCCTGCTCCCTTCCTACCCAGCCTCAAGTGGCTCTTGAGGGAAGGCAAGAACCGGCTCCCCAGGGAATGTGCATCAATGACTGAGCAGCCACAGGAGGGAAGGAGTATTAGGTGGTTCCATGTGTGGCTGCTATAGCTCACTGACAAACTTTCATCAGACTTGGAACAGTCTATATCCAAAGCCACGATCTAATCCACGTGAGAGAGGTACCACAAAACTAGCTGCATTTCTGAACACACACTCTACACTCCATGATCATAATGGCATCATGATTCAAAGAGAACAGAAGCTGAGACCTGCACACGCAACACACTGTGATGTGGTGGAGAGGTGTGGTGCTTATGAGCAGAGTAGCTACGTTTGCCATCTTGAACTCACACCATTGCATTTGTTCTAAGAAATCTGTCAGACGCTTACTGAGTTTGAAGGAACAAGACAATAACCGACTTTCAGATGTGTTTAAACGAAAATTATTAAGGTAACTGTTCTACTCCTTGGTGTGCAAACCCAGGTTCTTTATTTACTATAAA